CTCTGACTTTGGCTGTTTTCTTGCAGACGTTTCCTGACCCAACTAGGCAACGCCATCAGCGCTAGAAGGGAGTAGAGTTTGCCATCTCTTTATGGGAATGTTCTTGGCCTTGATTAGGCTATTATTTAGTGTTTGCGGGAACCGCTTACTTGACTGTACACCAGTATTAATCTTGGTGTTAAATCTCTGCTTATCTGGGTGTTGATGGCTGGCAAAGGTTTTCTGGTCTTTGGGCTTTTTCATCGGTCTGCTTTACGTGGTAGGTAGATGTTCTTTACCTCTATGTGCCTGTTGATAGCTGATCTGTCAGAGAGCCAGAGATCGTCTACAATTTGCCAGGAATTGTCATCAATTTTGGGCTTGGCCTACTGTGCTCACCCGCCACCCCCAAACTGAAACTATCCACGTGAAAGTAACAAATGCCTAATTAAGGCGCCCCCAAGAACATCCCACACACACACAAAACGGCAGGGCTACTATACAGTCTATAAACAGGGGAGCAACCCCACACTCCCCGACACGGATGATGTTATCTATTGGGGTTCATGAAATGTCTCCGAGAAAACCACCACGCTCAGAGTGCCCAAGGAGTTCTCTTCCTCCTCGCCGATCCCGCTCCCTCCTAACACTGATTCCGTTCCCTAGTCGGGTCTTGAGACGTCTGCAAGAAAACCACCCAGCTCAGAGTGCCCAAGAGATGCCACAGTCTGATCCTGAGCTACAAAGGTTCTCTCTTAAATAAACTATTAAACAGACAAACCTTCAGGCCTGCTGCCCTCCATTAACCCGAAGCTGGACCCAAAGAGGGGACCTAAAACCATCCCCCTCCCGCCAAGTTTCCAGTCCTCAAGGAACGTGGCTGACCGTGGCCGTTCTCTGCTCATCAAAGCGCTGGTATTTCTGTAGCTCCTTGAAGAGCTCGCCGCGAGGGGCGTATTCGAGGATCAGGTAGACTCGTTTCTTGTCGTGGAAATAGTTGTAGAGGCGAAGAATGTTGGGGTGACTGCGGGGAGACACGTTAAATGGCAACCCCGATAATTAGAAACAAACAAACAAACATTTTTTTTCAGCTTGGCCCTCCCCTCTTCTTCTACAAAAACCCTGTGATCTCGGGCAGGGATTAACCTTCCTTCAAGCGCTCTGCGGGGAGGAGCGCTTCACAGGTAGTCCTCAAGTTACGTCCATAAGGGAAGCATGCCCATCACCGCGATCGTCATAAGGACGCGCCATTTCAGCAGCGCCTTTGTCTTATCGACCGGGGGGGACGCTGCAATGGCTGTATGGGTGGGAAAACGGCCATTAAGTCACATGGTTCAGTGCCGTTGTGGCTTCAAACCGGTCGCTAAATGAACTGCTGTTAAAGAGTGGTGCGGTGGTCGATCCTAGCCGGAGGCTAATATTTCTCTCTCTGAGAAAACAAGGAGAATGTATCGGGCCGAACAAAACTCCGCATTGGCAACAGGAAGGCATCCGGCCAATAAACACTCGGATCCATTTGTTTGTCCAGACTCCACTCCAGAAGGGATTATTGGGTCGTTAAAAGAGGACGGTGACAACTAAATGAACTATTGCCAAATAGAGGAACCTGTATATAGATTTATATATGAAGATAAACAGGGTAAGTGAGTTGAAAGACAGCCAAGCTTTGGTGTCGTGGGAGGACTTCCGCGAAGCCGCCAAAGGCTTGCCCCCCCCCCCAACCGCGATTCAAAGCCACCCCCCGGTAAAGACCGAGGTTTGGGCCACAAACCCACGTACCTGAGATGACACTGGATCTCGATCTCCCTCCGCAGCTGGTGCTCCACGCCTTCCTTCTCCATCTGGGACTTGAAGAGCACTTTCAGCGCCACAATGAACTTGGAGCTCTTCTCCCGGGCCAGGTAAACGTTGCCAAATTTCCCTTTGCCCAGCGGCCTCCCGATCTCAAAATCATCGATGGTGAGGGTCCTCTCTGGCCTGACGTGGACAATGAAGGGCAGAAGAGAATCAAGGTACAGAACACATACGTACGTTTTATATTTTT